AAAAAAAAAAAAAAAAAAGAAAAAAAATTGAGAAATTGGAGATGATGCAGGAAGGACTTGTAACGTAATTACGTAAAAAGGAAGTACGGCTATATATAAATACACAAAGAGAGAGAGAGAGAGAGAGAGAGAGAGAGAGAGAGAGAAAAGATAATATTAAAGTACACAATTTTATATAAAAAACAATAAGAAAAAATTAGTAATACTAAAAAAAAGAAAAACAAAAAGGAAGAGAAAAATGTAGGTTAAAATTTAGTCTATAATTGATAAAGAAAAAAATACTTAGAGGAATCAATATATGTGATATGACATACGGGTGTAGTTTCATATATATAAAAGCGTGTCGACCAACGTCCGAAATAATCTTGTCTCTCCGTGATATAGTTAAAGAGATAGAAAGAGAGATAGTAAGATAGATAGATAGATAGAGAGAGAAAGAGAGATAGATAGAGTGAGAGAGAGAAAGAGAAAGAGAAGGAGAACGAAAGAAAAGAGAGAAAATAAATAGAGAAAAAGATGAAACACTGTAGACGTCAGAGATAGGTCGAGAATAACGCAGTAGTTGGCGGTAGGATTCTTGCGAGGCGTTCGAATCGGTTTGAATTTGAGCGCCCTTCGCGCCATTCGTTACGGCAGATGCACGAAGGTCAAAAGTATTTTAAAAATAAGGCCGTAGGCATTGGCAGATTGGTATGGCAGTGGACGTTAAGGGTCGAATGGCGTTGTAATGGCAAAAAGTTTGCTAAAGGTGAGTAATCTATTATCGCGTTAAAGATAATCGTTCGATTAAAAGTTAATCGTGTACGGTGTTGTAATGTATAACGTTAGGATTAAATGTAAATAAAAGGTAACGTTGTTGGTACGAGAATTGGTTAGAAAATCGGCAAATTAAGAAACGGAGTTTTCCACGGAGGCAGGAGAAGGCTCGGTCGTGTGGTTTAGACGAGCCACGGCCGACAATGGCGCCCAAGCATCGCGAATATTGACATTGCCGAAAACATTATCTTCCTCGTATTGGATATTTGTCGTTTACGTGGGTGGTTACGTACTGCGTCGTAATTAGCGATCTAACCTCGTATCGTATGTAAGATCTCGCGTTATCGCTAGAGGATTCATCGCGAATCGGTTGACTCGTTAGTCGAGGTTATGCCAAAAATGTATGTTTTCGGCACGTATAGTAGCGACGCGTGAACCCTGAAGGGTTTTACAGTTATACTGCAATGTGGCACATTTGCAGAAGCACGGAGGACGTTGTGTTGGTTTAGAGTCGCGATATTATCATCGAAGAGGTATCGTCAGGACTATAGGAGGGAGAGAGTGTGCGCGCGGGGAACTCGTGTGAGTTATTGTTTTAAGGGTTAGGGAGAGTCATTCTCTATTTGTTCAGGGTGATCAGATTTTTCAGTGTCGGACAGTTCAGGGCAGCTAGTTTGGTTGTAGGGCTGGGATTGGAGATAGACAAGATGGACCAGCAGTATTGCCTACGGTGGAACAATCACCCAGCCAACCTTACTGACGTACTCAGTTCGCTGCTTGCCAGAGAGGCACTTTGCGACGTTACCTTGGCTTGCGTTGGAGAAACCTTTAAGGCGCACCAGACGATACTCTCTGCTTGTAGTCCTTACTTCGAGACTATTTTCCTCCAGAACAATCATCCCCATCCGATAATATTCCTGAAGGATGTCAACGATACAGAAATGAAAGCGTTGCTGCACTTTATGTATAAGGGAGAAGTTAACGTTAGTCAGCATGTACTACCGATGTTCCTCAAAACAGCTGAGGCGTTACAAATCAGAGGCCTCACAGATAATAGTGTAAATAACAAGACAGGAGAAAAGAGTCCTTCGCCTGAACCAGAAACACAAACTGGTATCAGGCATACAGATTCGCCTAATCTCCAATCGCATCCTGAAAAGAGGAAAAGAAAATTTTCTGGCAGCTATGATGTTTCGCTTACTGGGCCTCCTAGCGAAAGATTCTTGTCTGATTCTCAGGTACGTACTAATGGTACACTCCGATGAGTATTATCGACTAGACTACGTCTTCTTATTCCTCTTTTTATATTTTGGAGTAAATTCATGAAAATAGGAATGAAAACAATAAACAACGACAACTTCTTCCGCTCTATTACGATAGAAGTGCAAGTATAATTAAACTTCCAAATGTAACTCTTTTAAGTAACCATTTTCATCGCAAGACATTTCCATTTAATGATTTTTAAAATATTATACCTTTTTCTTTTTTTTTCTTTTACTTACAGTACATTTCTGTCTGATAACGATCGTTTCATTGTTATCAATAAATTACACATGTATATATGATTACACAGCTTTCCAAATAACTTTGCCTGTGACCTTGGAATTTTGACTAAAGAGATAATATCTATCATTTGATTCATGAACATGATAACTATATTTGCAGCATTTATTATAATAGTAAGAGCTTCTTTGCTATTTATTTTTTAAAAATATAAAATATACTTTTATTCATTTATATTTTTTAAATTAAGAGTTTATACATGGCATCGACAAAAAATTACAAATATTAAATACAACCATTATTTTTGTCTCCTTTATCGAAAGAAAACATTCTTTCCATTAATTATACAAATAAATTTAGTTTAGCAATATTATATATATTTCTAGAGGATCAAAATATGTATTTGTTATTTCAGGTATCTTCGCAATGTAATTATAAATCAAGTCCGCCTATTATTCCAAAGGTAAATAATGCCCTGGGAACAGAATTAGAGGATGGTAGTCGACCTATGTCTCCTGCATCGCAACCGCAAGCTCCTATCAAGCAAGAATTAGACCACCACTTATCGGATTTCCATGACAATATATCTCTCCCAGTAAGTAACATTTGTTTATTATTTATACTATTAAATTATTCAATTATTATTTTTTCTTACTATTAGATTGTTATTAGATTTTGTGTAATGTTGATGTTGTATTAAGCGTGTGCAATTTTTTGTATTCTTCCTTTTTTAATATAAGACTACGCATTATTTTTTTCAGCGATGTTATAATAGTTTTTTGGTAGATAGTACCGGTGGAAAAATATATGTATACCTTTTATAAAATTTATCAACGTGCTGTATTTGTACTTGACATATATTGTTCCACCATATTTTTATCGTAATACTAACTTATTTTCCAGAATAATTTTCTTTATCTATATTTTAATTTCCATTAAATGGCTTTTTAAGTGTTTTATACTTTTTATATTTGTAAATATATAACCAAAATGGAGGAGAATATTACCAACATTTATCAGCGGTGTCTGCGATTATATTGTTATCCAAAGGCAAAATGTGTAATTACATTTTGTCTTAGTTGAATTTTTTCTTATGTCAGTGTTTCGTTACTATTCCCACAATTAATGATGATTATATATTATCATCATATATGTGACTACGCAGTCAAAAGAGACACGGAAAGGAAGGGATTTTAAGAATAAAGAGATGCAAAATTGGCTTCTTGTACGCATAAAAAGATTCAATGAAAATGTGTCGATTAAGCACATATCCTTTCCTTCTCTGTTGACAGACTAATGTGGAGTGGATAGTTCAAAGGGATGGGAAGAGTGACGAAACAATGGACGTACAGAACATGACTCCCAATCATCCAGATTCAACTGTGATGCGAGTTTCACGAGAAAGTACCATCATGGCTGGAGGTTCTTTATGTATCAATGTGTCAGGAACTATGCGAGAATTTGAGGATCAACATAGCTCTTTGCAAAATCGTATCTTTCCTATAAACTCACAACATTCTGAATATAAGAACGACAATGTAGGGTCCAATTTGCAGTATATGTCTTTGTCAGATTATAGTAAAAATGTTAAATTGTCATCAATTAATAACAACGATCTATCAAGATCTATGAGAGTAAATAATTTACAACAGGAAATGCCAGTGATACAGTCTACTTTGCGTAACACTTTGCAACGTAATATTTTTCAAGGTAGAAGGGCTGGTAAATTTAAACTCAGCTGGTTAAATGCATATCAGTGGCTTCAATACGACAAACAGTCAAATCTTATGTTTTGCAAATATTGTAGAAAATGGAGCAATTCCATTCCAGAAATACGTACCTCTTTTGCTGCAGGAAATGGCAATTTTAGATTAGAAATTATAAATCATCATGATAAATGCAAGGCTCACAAACTATGCGTAGCTAAAGAAAGCGGTACTAAAGAAAATTACTCTTATATTAAAAACACTTGTTGAATACTCGCTTCGACAAGCATTCTTTTTGTTATTGATTCATGCTTATAATTTTTTATATTTGCATCCAATATATCAATATTATTGTATTATATATATTTTATGTATAATATTTTATGAGATACAATCATATTAATATATTGGAAAAAAATATACGTGCATACAACACTCTTTTTGTTTTTTTTGTACATGCATGTTGTGTTGTATATTTATGAGATATTTTATAAAGACAATTTTTTTTATTGAAATATATATATATATATATTTTTACTTAAAATTATTTTTTATTTA